GTTCTCAGCCCTGTCACCTGTGCAGCGAGTCCACGGTTGTAAGGAGTCAAGGGGTAAATCTGCCGGACTGACTGGTTAAGACCAGCCAGCACCTCCTTTTCCAGCCAAGTGTGCTCTTGCATGCCAACAGGCACAAAATGACCGCACAGAAACCCAGAGTCATTGGGACACTGGCTGCTTCTGCTTTAAAAAAAAAAAATTCCCAACACAAGGAATTATAAATCAATAGACTCAAGCCCAGAGACCAGCTCCTGTCCCAGGAGAGCCACGGTAGCATCGGTCATAAAAAGCCCTCTATTGGCCACAATGGGTTTGCTCCAGAGGCTCCAAGAGAAAGCAGAGTCGACTAAGAGCTCTCTACTGTATTTGTTTAAATTTCATGCCAGTGGATGGCGGTGACGCAGGAGACAGGTTTATGGAGAGAGAAATAAAATGTTGACAAATGGCCCTGTAATCAACTGGAACATGCAATAAATCATTAGAATGCCAATAACACTTCCAGGACAAGCTTAGAAAGGTCATTAGTGTGTCACCATATATCTTCCAGCACCAAACAAAGCAAACAGAACATGTTGGGAATAGGATTATGGGGGAAGCATCTGTCAGTCCTAATTAAGAATTAACTACAGATCGTATCTTGGGAGATGTATAATTTATTTTCCCTCTTCTTCCTCCCTACATACTCACAAAAAGAAAAATAAATCAATAAAAAGTTTAACCCGTTCTAGATCTGAGATGGGGTCAAAGAGGCAGGCTCGAAGTGTAGACCAGAGAGAGCAGGAATCCTGGCCGGGTGGGAGGCAGGGCCAGGGGAGGAGGAAAGGGCTCCTGGCACCAAGGTGGGCTGGGACGGGCAGCTGGAGAGCTCAGACTCAGCCCAGGGCCCCAGTGCTGTTCTTTGTCCTCGCCCAGCCCAAGACGCTCTGTTTCACACCATCAGGAATGTGGAGGTTACCTAATACTTCGGCAAATCGGTCTCACGAGCTACAAAGGGGCAGCAGGAAGGTTGGAAGTTAAAAAAACAAAAAAGTGTCAAGTCCTTTCTACCTGAATGTACCAGTTATGACTGAGTTTGGCTGCAAGGACCAAAAAACCCAATCCACAGTGACTTAAACAAAGAAGTGTTTATTTTTCTTATGTAACAGAAGTCTAGAGGTGGGGAGGTGCTGGCGCGGTTTTCTGAATGTTTGTCTCATAATCTTTAGGGCGTTGGCTTTTGCCCTCTGTGACTGTGGTCACAAGATGGCTACTGCAGCTCCAGACATCATGACCGCATTCAAAGGAAGAATAGAGCAGAAAGAATGACTCTGGCCTTTTGTATCCCTGTTATCAGGAAAGCCAAAGTTTTCCCAGAAACCCCCAGAAAACCTAGGTATTTGTCTTATTGACTGAAATTGTCTCAAATAACCACCAAACAGATGGGAGATGAGGTGGACCGATCCTCACTCCAAATAAAAATGGGGACCTGTTTCCCAAGAAGGAGAAAGGAATGGGTTTTGTATTAGCAACTAACAGGGTTTGCCGTGCGGAGAAGTGGGGCGTGGGCCCCGCAGGGGAGTGCTCGCCCCGAGCTGTTTATAGACAGGCTCTCTGTCCCTCCCACCCAGTAGAAGGCACTGGTCCTCTAAGATCCACTTCCTGGCTCCGCCCGAATTCCATTGCTGCTGCTAATTTGTGCTGCTCTTTTCTACTCAGGATAAAGCCTTTGTGCAGCTATAAAGCAGCTCCAGGTTTTCAGGGGAGAGTCAGTCCGGCCACCCCAGCAGCACCGAAGGTTAACGGAGCAAGCATCCGCTCCTTCACCACAGACCTTGCTCCAAACGACCCTTTCGTCAGTGTAGCAGCACAGAGGCCCCAGGATGTTTTTATTATTTACCTGGGTCCTACTTCCTTCCATGCAGCTTCTATCCTCCCCTCTATTTGGCTGTGTGTGCATTTGTGTACCCTGAGCATGCATGTGCACTGTGTATCTGTGTGCGTGCGTGCCCGTGTGTGCATGTGTGTATCTGTGTGTGCATGTGTGTACCTGTGTACATGTGTGTGCATTGTGCATGCCTGTGTGTGCATGGTGTGAGTACACTGTGTGCATATACGTGTTGTGTATGTATGTGCTTGTCTTCCTCTCTCGTTGCCCCACCCCTACTCCCCTTACCAGCTGGGCCCCCCCCATCACCTAGGTGCCGTCCCCAGGCATTTGGGGGGAGATGTGGACACACCACCCGCTTTTTTGTCATGATTCCTACTTTCACCACCACTCACAGCATCACGGTTACTGTTGATCTCTCCCATTCTTCCTGCCTTTCGTCCTCAGGTCTCTTTTTCTGCTTGAGTTTGCATTTCTCCCTTTATTTTATTTTATTTTTTTCTGCTGACAGAGACAAGAGCTCGTCCTAGTTCACCATTTCAGGATTTGTTGCAAACTTCAAGGTAGAGGTTTATGGCTGCGGGTG